GCGAGACACACACAAAGATGAAAAAACAAAATGTCATCAAGGGATTTCTATTTCATTAATTAACTAGGGTAGTGTTCGGAGTGTTAGGCTACAATGTACCAAAGTCATATAACTATAAGGTTCTTTATATCTCCTCTTCCATCATCTCACTGGATCTAACAAGTTGTTCAATATATAAAACCCATCTACTGGCCAAGGTTGCATATGTTGGTAAACAATTTTAAAGAAAATATATGGTACTGTGGTAGATATGATATTATTTATTGCCTGGTACGAGTGTATACCAGGGATTTAATAAAAAAAAAAAAAAAAACCCACAAGGGGAGAAGTTTACAGGAAAAAAAGAGCACAAATCTGTTCTTGTTGCTCATGTGTATAAAATTATTATCTAGATGCATTAATGCTGATTACTGTTGATTTTGTAATATCAGAACCCTTTACGACTTTAATTAGTTTTTACTTTTAACATTTGTTTTAACATCTCCAGGAATTTGCCTTGACATAATATATATATATATATATATTATACTGCATCAAACGAACAAGGACACTAATACTGTGTGATTCAGAGCAATTACTTGTAAAACTATATACCACTTTACATAAGTAAAAATGTGTTCAAAATGTTATGATTTGAATTTTTGGAATAAAATTTTTGTTTCTGTTGTGATAATTTTTTTTTTAGTTGTAATTAATGTGTTAGAATAGGAAATACATGATATTTGATGTAGTGAAATAAGCACTGTGACATATTTATATCTATAGACCTGTTATACTGACTCCAACTGCTCATAGCCTTGGTGTAGGAAATATGAATCGTCCAGAATCGTCCCAGATGGCACAAAGTCATGTGACTTAACATAAAATCAAGAGAAATTGCACAGGATTTGGAGCAGAGTGAGGTCAGAAATAATGGCAGACAAAATGTCTTGTAGAGAGTACAGTGCAGCAAAAGATAAAAGCTGACAGAATTTATTGGCAATGTTTTTCTGGTGGTTTTCTCTGAACTAATTTAGAATAAAAATCTGTTGCACAAGAGTGTTCAGTTTTTTGTGTGGTGTCACACATTCATTTTAGGCTATATTAAAATATTCCTATTGCTGTTAATTTGATTTGGACATCTATCTCTGTATATGGATGAATTCAGCTCAATTCCCATGCTATTAATTATTATATATGCTGTTACTTTTGCAAATCCATACTAATCCTGCCTCAGAATTATCACCTTAGATTAACACTTCACCTACAGTTTTAGACTTTTCCACATATGAAAACACATTTTGTTGTCATGTGACCTATGATGCATATGGGGTACCCTCTACCAGGGCCGCAGTTATTATTGTGGACATTTTTTGCTGCGGCAACATCAGACCAAAATGACTGTCTATTTATCTAGAGACATATCAAATCAATCTGTCACCCTGGTAGAGGGTACATATAGGGAACTTGTAAATTGAATCCTGCCTTTTAAAGATGCATCTGAAGTCATTTTAGGAAAAAAAAATGCCACCATATAGTTTCAAATAGTATAACTGTGAGAGAAAATTGATACTTGAATGAATTTTTTTTGTATGATTTCTGTGCTGTATATAAACGGGGCAGATAAATAGGTCATATAAATAGGTCAAATTTATGACCAAAAGTTTGAAGAAGGTGGGGTGTATTGAGTTGGCTGATTGAGTTATTAATTCAATTTATCACTTGATATGTCAACTTTATTCGAGTCGTATAAAAAAACTAGTTGAAGTGGTTAATAGGCATTACTGGGAAACATACTCCACCAACACTCTGTTGTCAACAGACCAAAATGACTGTCTATTTATCTAGAGATATCTGTGAATATCTGTGGAAAATCAATCTATCACCCTGGTAGAGGGTGGCATATATGGATGTATAGCACAAGCTGCATTCAAATTCCTCTGGCTTTTGAAAAATAATTAAAATATAAGTGTCATTCTTTAAGAAAAGCTTGCACTAACCATTTTCCATATGAGAATCCACCATGCAGGTATTGAATACCTTTCCACTGGTCCATATAGCAGTGCCTAAGACCCCATTCCCAGAGATTAGATCGATCCAAACTAGATCCACCTAACTTCCTGGGGGTTCATGCTAAATAGCTGTCAGCCAAGCGAGCACGAAAGTTAATTACCCCCTTACAGCTTGTAGTAGGCGGGATGGACATTTAAACCGGATTATCTGACAGTAATCTAGCGAGACTCTCCACGGGGATAGATCGATCTAAATGTCTGGGAATACGCCCTAACACAAGCTAAGTTTGCAAGTTTCTCTTGTCTGCGTCATAGGTCATGTGACACCATGGTTGTGTTTTCATTTCTGAAAAGGCCTATATATGGGAGTTGTTTAGTCAAAAGCTTTCTGAAACCCATATGTCAGTCTAGCTATGTTGAAAAAGGTTCCTTGATTCCAGTGCACACAAAAGTAAGTAATACCCAAGGTTTAAGCATTAAGCACTTTCAGTGTTATGGCTCCACAAAATTGCTTGATATTCAAGACTTAGATATAAAAGGACAGAAAATATTTCTGGAAAATTTTCTTTGACATTTCTTGGCAAATATCATATTCACTTCATAGCATGAACAATGGTTTAGAGTATTTCATTCTTGAGCCTATGATTTGCTAAAAGAATTTCAATAATATATATGATATCCCAGGAACCCCTGGTTATTTCAGAAGTTGCCTCTGATGTTTTCTTTAATGGAATGATTTTTACGTGTCAGTAGAAAAAGAAACTTTTGCTGGATGTGTCCTCAGCTAGATTGTATCCTAGGCCTTTGCATTTATTCTATTAATACAATATCTATACCATTGGTACTCTCTATTGGAGAAATAAATACCATTATATTGGTACATGACTCTGATAAAACCATTCCATATAAGTTGAAATATTTATAACTTTAGACAGTAAAAAAATTGGAAAAATATATAAATGAATAAAAAATAAATAAGGAAAATAGATGAAATAAAATGGAATAAAACAAAATGAAATAGAATAAGTGCTTATACAATATTTTGGTAAAGCACACAGTATGTTTTTGTGTGATTAAGAGTTCTTTTAAGTTGGTGGTTTCATAGCATGAGGTTTCAACTCGTGTTTGTATTAAGGTTATTCCTGTCATGTTCTTCATTTCATTTGACACAAGTAGAGTTTGTGCCTGTGATATAAAGTAGTAGAAAATCAAATTTGTACTTCACAGGTAATTGCCTCTATTCAATTCTGACCTAATCCATGAAAACCAAACTATATGACCACTGACATAATAGTGATTATAAACTCTTTTAAGTATGTAACCATCTGCGTGTTGAAGTCTATATTGTTACAAGTAATTTGTCTGGATATTAATCTGGCTACTTATCTAGACTATATCCTCCTCAACTGAGCTTGATTTACAAAATAAGTAAGAAGCATGTGGTTTGTGATATGACTGATGGTTGCTTTTTTTTCATCTTTTAACAGATTACTTTTTTGTGTTTGTCATGTACATTTTAAGTTTTTTTATAACGTTCACTTTGTGGTATGAATTATTGTAGTTGTGTCTTTTTCATCTTTAAAGAGATTTTTTATATTTGAAGAATTCTTTGATTATGTTGAAAAAATGTAGCAGATATTAATCCATGGAAAATTGACATAGGTAATAAAGAATGCTTCATCTATGGTTCCTTCCCATTTTACTCCATGGCATTCAATTTCACATCAATTAATGTCATGCCATTTTGGGCCATACCATACCATACCATAGCATATCATACCATATTTCTTAACCAGATAAAAAGAGCCTCTTCAGATAATAAGGGTGCAGCATTTTATTGATATTTATTTGTTTGTACATAAATTCCTCTAACGGTAAAACCAGTAGTTGTAATCATTGTATTACATAAAACATCATAGTTTTTGCTTGACAATGATATGTTAAAAATCTGCACAATCAAAACTTTTTGAAAATCTATGTAGATGAACTCCCTACAGCTTATAAATTGTAACCCAATGCTGAACATCTAATTTGGCCAAGGAAAATGTTAAGTATCTTACTGTTTTCAGAAAAATTTATGATTATAAAAGTTCAAAATTTTGATTTAGCAAGAAGGATCAGCTATTTGCCTGAAAAATATTTTACCCCAAAGCGAACCTTGTACGTAAGGTTTGTGTATAATATCTAAGTCATTGTCACTCTCTCAGTTGGAAAAAAATTACCATTATAATAGTACATGTACAAGTAGACAAATAGTAAGTGTTTGACATACAGAATATTCCGGGGACTTGCTTTTCCACAATACTAGGAAAAAGACAGACATTGTCTCTGGGTGTAGGCAGACCATGAATGTTTTATAAGTCTATTAAAGTATATACTAAGTGACAAATGAGTCCATGAAGTAATATAAATGATGTTGGCACAATTTGTCAGATGGTTCAACAAGATAAGACATGAATCTGAATGACAACAAAAAGGAAAAAAATCATGAACGAAGAATGACACATGATTTTAAAATGTAAGGCATCTTGAAGGCTGCATTGTGTATTACTCAATTCTTCTTCAAATACGGCTGCTGTTGTGATGCTGTGACGAGAAGCCACACCTCTTCAGTACCTTGGACACCTATTGGATGGTAGCCTCTCTGTTCCTGGCTGTGGTAATAATATTGATTTTCTCCCAGCTTACTACTTAGGCACTGCATCAGTACAAAACCTCTCAGTGGGTGACAAAGTATGTGCGGCAGATTAATTGTACTCATTCAGTAGACTGGTAGATAGGAAGCAAGAGGGAGGCAGCTTCTGTGGACCTGTTGTCAGCCAGGTAGACACACTTGACGCTACTAGTGCTTGCCAAATTGAATTTTGGAAAAAGAGAAGTTGCTTCTGATTTGGTCAACTTCTCAAGATGGTCAATACTTTGATCGCAAAATGCACATTTTCATCTCAAATTTTCTGAATCAAATTTGTTTTTATGACACATTTTTATGTCTTTGTTTTTTCTTTTCAGGCAATTGGTGGTATAGAAGCATGCCTGCTAGGAATCTATAATTTGGTAAGTTCCTTGTGATGGAATTGTGTTTTTTTTTCTTTGAACTTGTTTGAATGCATGCATTTGTGATGATGCTAAGATGAATATTGAATTGTTGATTGTGTTCTGATCACCTATGTGTTATACCCCCTGTATATGTTGTCACTGGTGTATGATACTTCATAGAATACTTTGAGAATCATCCTTGTGTACCATGTGGCTACCAGAATATTTTAAAGATTGTTTGAACTTCATCATAGTACCATGGCACCATGCAGATGTCATTAAATTCATCTAGTCATAGCCTCACTGTAAAGATTCATGTTTTGAAGTTGGTACATATAAACAGATTTTCTTTTTTTTTCAATAAACTGTCAAGCAGAATGTACTGTCATATTTTTTAGCTGGAAAATAAGTAATGCAAAAGTATACATTGTAAAAGACTTACATGATGTTTTTTTTGCCAGATAATTGCTGGAGCTGTGGAAATGATGGTACATCTTCATTTTCTAGATTTTCTACATTTGAATTTTATTTTTAGTCTAAAGATGTATTGGCTGTCTATCATTTAAATGTTTTTTTCTAGTTGTCTTATGATATTTTCTGAAATGTATCCCATATATTTTGGCAATGAACCTCAAGTACACAATTCTTTAGTTTTTTGAATGAAATGTTTACAGTATTTACTGTCTTTAACTTTCATTTGATATGAGGTGGTGATATAAACCAAAGCTTTTTACATTTTCATTAGCCTTGATGATGAGAAATGGAAAATTTTATGGAATCTCAGAAAAAAATAAAGATTATATTAATGGAACTCCAAGGTTGATTATCCTAAAAAGATTCATGGCAGGGGCTGTCAAGAGAGGGTTAGCCATCTTCCTGAAGTATAATCCAACAAGACGTGTTCAGTCTTGATTGGGTTTCTCTTTGTCTTTGATGTATGATATCATTGCTCTTTCAATTTTGTCAACTTATTCTCAATATTCCTGGCTAACTGTGTGCAGGGAGACGAAGCCTAATGACAGGAAGAAGGATAAGAACAGATTACTCCCAGGGAAAATGGAAGATAGATTGGATTCTACTCATTGAGTGATAAATATCCTTATATGACAAAAACAAAAAGAAGGAAACTGTGTACAAGCCCTTCTCTATTAAGGCCAAACTTTTTAAGAGGTTATGTTTAGTAGAACATTAAGACAGAAACACTAAATTTAAACCAATCTAAGCAGTAGATTGTAAGATATTAGAATGTCACCCAAGTTAAGCAGTGTACAAACCTTGATTGGTTAATGGTCAGTAGCTGGAGCTCCCCAGTGAGACTGACATGTGCCTGTTGCTTTTTACCATTTTCCCCACAAATATGACAAGCAGGTAGACAAAGATGTATAGAGGGGTGCTGGGGGGAGGGGGGAGGGGGGGAGGGGGGACCTGGAGTGTTAGCAAGTGGCATGTATCAAACATAGTGTTAAGCTGTGGTACAGAACTGTTAATTAATTGGGTGGCAGTGGTCCTTATTGAAGAGCCCTCTTTCTGTTTTGTTGCTTTTTATATATAGCATGCCTTGGTTTATATGGGCTCTGCCTTGTCAAGTATGGGTCATAGGTTTTAACAAAAGCTGCACAAGGATTTTGGCGAGTATCAAAATTGATGGGATTTAGGAAGACTTGGCTGCATATTCAATACCACAGTAGCAGGCCATTGATTGTATTGTTATTCAATGTGCTGTTAATCTCGACTGTACCTCTTTTCAAGATCCATCAGGTTTTTCCTTATTCAAATTTTTGGAAAAGGGAGTAGAGATACCATTATCCTGTTTCATTTGTTTTGACCATTTTAGCAAATTATATATATAATACTAGTATATGTGTATGGTCAAATTATCCGAATTCACCTGAACTCTTACAGGAGAGAATATTTTTATGGTACTAAAATAGCTGTTGTCAAGTCTTGGATTATATATATAGTGATTGGCATTGTCACCCTTGACGTCTTTTTTATGGGTAATGGGGGAACCTGCTGCCTAGAAGTAACCAGGAAGAACAAGTTCCACACTGTCAGGTCTCTGAAGTAGTCCTAGATAGCTTTTTCTACAGTATAAAGGCCATAGTACAAATATTGCTTGGTTTTCAATATCCCCTGGAGGATGGAACTACAGATAATGGGATAAGAGCTATTTTCCATTGGCATGGGCTTCCCTACCATTACATTCAAATAATGACTAAGACTTTGTGAGTTGGTTTTCATTTTTTCCTCTGAGAGTCTTTTATTTCATTATTTGTACTGCGGTCTTTAAGGTTCACATTTTTTTATGTGACAATTTTTGGTCTTGATCTTTAGTCATTTGGAATGCCTTGTTGCTTGAGATAATTTAGACTGAAAAAAAGTAATACCTTTGTTTAGGGTCACTCTACTTCTAACTATGGGTGACACTGAACCTTTATTTTCAGCATGCACTAAGGAAATTAATGTTAACTTTGTTTCTTTTATCTGAAAGCCTGTTCTTATGAGAGGTTATTTTTGGCATTTTTCTTGTTTTAAATAGTTTTCTTTCCATTAGCCTGTACATATCAGGGGCATACAACACCATGTTCAAGAATGAAGTAACTTCCCTGCACAAGAATTGCAATATTTCTTGTACTGGTTCAAAAATTGCAATTTGTCTGGTGCAGGTAGTTAATCTGTTGCTAAAACAGAATTTAACCAAGCCTTAAGGGTATTGAAAAAGTCTATCTGGATGGAGAAAATGAAGTATATTAAAGCCAAAATAACCCTTGTGAACTGTGGGTGTTTGAATGGCTGATCTTGTAACCTTTGCTTAACTTGTCTTCTGCTTCAGTCCCCAATATCTTGAATTTTTTAAGTAAGAAAAGGAAGAAAAAGATGAAACAAGACTTGCATTATGAAAGTATGTCATGTAACACAAACGTAAGCAAGACCACACCCCTTTTTAGTGCATGCACCTTTTAATTTCTAGATGGTCAAGATCTGAATAGAGATAATAAACTTAAATAAGTTTTCATGCCTGATCTGCCTATTCAGACTTTTTCTTCAGAAATTGAAGAATCCTAAGTTGTAGAACTTTAAAAAATGGTGATAATCTGTCTTTTTTTCAATTTAAGAACTAATGAATCTTGATGTATGTGTGGTCTTTAAGACTTAAACTACAGGTAATACATGGGCAATGCTGTCACCTGTAATATGTTGTGAAGTCTTAGTACAGAAGCAAAAGTAACAAACACAATTGATTCAGTTGACTTGACGTGATGCTAGACTCTAATTGAATTTGTTGTGTCCATCTCCAATTTGTGCCGACTAATACAGCATAGTTATTGATTTTTTAAGCCCCAAGTTCTCAGGATTGTAACATAATTGATATGTGATCCGCATGGAAAGAATCCTCATATTGTCTCTTTTCACTTCTTCTTACACTGCAAAATGTGGTGGGGAAAAATTAATTTTCCTTCAAGGTTGAACATTTGTGAAATTTGAGGATTTAGTCCATCAGCATGCAATTGCCTTTTGCACGCTTAGAAATTACTAAGTCACATTGTTGTCTACACTAAGTTGTATTTGGTGACAAAATCATAAAGAAAAGCAAGAAATCACATACACACGCACACAAACACACACACACACACACACCAAATATTGAATTTTTAAGGCAAGTCCTCTGCCATTACTATAAGACTTGTTTGTGCTTCAGTTTTTTTTCTTCACCATGGTATCATTAATCTGTCTTTATACCTTGATGATAATTCACTTCTGCTTATACAAAATACACTGTATCTGTGCTTTTTTATTCTTATATAAATGAGGTGATTAGTTTTTTTTTTTGCATAAAAAATGGGTACTATAACTAAAGGCAATGTATGAGAGCAAAACTACCTTTTAGTTTTCTTCTTTATAACCCGCAGTGAAAGATGACTGCCTTTTAGGCTTAACAGAAGTAGTTTCCATTCAATATTTTTGGGCAATGAATTCTTTTCTGTACAAGTGTCATTTTATGAAACCAGAGAAGGGAATTAATTCTGAGTGGCACACTATCATTTCACCATCTGAGCCCACACTGTTTGAGAAGATTCCGGTGACACTCCAGTCCTAGAAATTGCATGCTGTCATGACAGATTCTGAGAGCGATGTTTTCGACTCTGTTTCCTGTTTTCCTCTTCCTCACATGCAATGAGAAGCATACAGCTAATACCAGCATAATTCTTCTCTCCTTGTGGACATTCATACAATTTTAGTTTTTGCTGGCGGCATGATCTTTGTATTTTTTCAAGAAGTTACGAGTGTCACCAATTCTCTTGTTATGAATTTGGTTTTGAACACCACTAAATGCACCCAGTTCCACCTGAGGCTCAGGTTTTGACTGGAATGACAATTATGTCTGACATCACAACCTTCAATTTCAATTTTTTTGTTTTAAAGAATGCTATGATCTAATACAAAACTAGCATGTCTGTCAAGTATTAATTGAGCTTATCCATTACATCGAACAAAGTTGTTGCTTCTTGATAAGTTGGCAAGACAACCATTTTGAATGAAAAGATGGACTTGTTGCCAGGTTGTTTGGAAAATATACACAAAGCTAAAAGTTAAAAGCAAAAAATTAAAAAAAAAAGATTATGTACAAGCATGAAAAAGAAGGATATCCCATGCAGCATCTATGATATCGATCTGAAACATGTTGTTAATCTTGTCAACAGTGGCATTGACAGGAGTTGGAACAAGGTTCACAGAAGTAATGGACTGTCTCTTATAACAAAGCCATCCAAGTGACACAGAGCTTTTCAACTAATGTATCAGGTACACTGTTAGTGATATATTTGCTTGTTAAGGTAATTACTCCCCGAAGCAAGTAAAAGGGTGACTACAAGAGGGCGTGACAGACGGCTTGCACACCTGTGGACTTGGCATGCTGGGGCTTTCTAAAGAGACCAATTACCAGCGCCATAGTCGGCACTGTCTAATGATGCTACATGCTATACCTGCAGGTAACCTGGATTCTGCTTGGATCTCTTCCTTTTTCTTTCCTCTTGGCCAATCTAGGGTTAGGAAGTGACTGGATTTGTGCTTCTCTGCAGATGTTGCAAAATTGTAATGGCTTGAGATAAATTGGATTCATTTTCTTCTCCCCAAATGTTTTATGAAAATGAGTGATTTATCTTACCTGCAGAGATTTTTATGCTAGGAAATTCTGTTTTTAAAAAAATTGCATAATTTACCTTTACAAAACTTTTGAATCAGAAAAATGAACACTGTATACATGAGTACCAGAACCTGTTACTCTTTGGGTTTGTGCCAGTGACATCTTTTTTTGTAAGGTTTTCATGTCTTTTTGAAAAATATTTTGTTTTCATTTGAAGCAGGAAGAGAAGGATTAAAAATAATGTCTATCTAAGTGAAAGACTAAGTTTGCTTCATCTGCTTATATACTTCCTTGTTATTTTTTTTATTGTGTTAGTGAAAGATAGTCTGAGCTAATTAAGCTTTTGGTGACCTACTCTTCCAAAGAATTAAGGTTTTTGTCTTTGCTGGTTTGTTAAATAACAGCAGGACTCAAAAGTTTGTGGGCAGATTTTGATAAAAATTTCAGGCTAAGTAAGAAATGGGTAAACTTAGAATCAGTTAGAATTTTGTGGATTCAATAATTTATCAATTAATAATAATGAGAACTGACCTGTCTTTGCAGAATTCTTTGCTTTCTGAGTGTTTTTCTAGTTGAAGTGGCTGTCAGCCCAATAAAAGGGGAACATTGTACAAAAATTGAAGTTCACTAGGATGTGCATTGGCATTATTCTCCCTGTTCAAAGCAGGAAGTTTAAGAGGCTTATCATAATTTCCTACCTCGTATTTATATTTTTAGTTGACTTTTATAGTTGAAACTGACATTTCGCAAGGATAAAGTTTTTCCTGCTGTAATAAGGTGATTGGGTACATACACAGAAACTCTCTCTATTTCAGTATGTACACACTGATAATCTGATTATGTGTGAATTCTTGTTGGCTTTGTTCTCTTTGCATTGTGAATTTTCTACTCTTTTATTAGATTATCTAAAGACCTTCTTGCATACTTTATGTACAGGGCATATAGCTCTGGTAAAGTATTGAATTTTCCAGTCTGTTTGTTAGGAAGTGCTTAGTACAGGAAAGAAAATTCCTAAAGGTGTCAAAGAGCTAGATAGCACATTTGTTTTCAAAAATAAGCAACAATTATAGTAGCAAGAAAAGGATTTTTGGAATTATGAAAATTCTTTTGACTTTATATGGATGCTGGTTTTGTAAAATATCATGGTGTTTGACCACATCTTCCATTTGCATGGTAACAAGGGGAGACAAAAATGAAGAAGATGAAGAAAGCTGGCACCAGATCGTCAGTGTTCAATTGTTGATATGTGCCTGAACTTATATCAGCAGTTGTACCACTGATGTTTTGTTACTAGCCTACCAAACTCAAGGAAACCCTGAAGATTTTTTATCACCACTGCCCGTGAAGGAGGTTATATCTTCAGATGCATATTTTTGTGTATTTAGTAGTGGATACTTTTCCTTAAAAGTTCTTCGCAAAATACAAATTTCAGGAAAATTCAGGGGTGAATTTCAGGCGGAAAGAAGTGATAACGATTTTGACTGAATCCAGTATCCCTTTATATTTGATAAATCTAGATGGTACATTTTGTTACTGTACATGACGCTAAGATGTACATGGATCACAGTTAAAATTTTTTTTTTATAATTATAATTGTTATTTTGATTTGAAAGATAATTTTTGTTTCTTTTCTCCCGTTCAGTAATATTACATTTTTCCTTGAAAATGTCTGTACTCTTTTAGTGCTCCCTAGATACTGATCTTTCCATGCAAAGAGTTTTTGCAGTTTTTCTAAACTTCTGTCATGGAGAATGGCATACAGATATCAGCTTCATTGATTGCTTATTTTTAAATAAAGCTGAAAAAGCTATGCTTTGTGGGGTTTTTTACCAGTAGGTTTTTTTAATCTACATACATGTATGCACAACTGTTTACCATTTTGGTTTACTTCAGTGTACCCTCTCTCTCGCTTTCTTTATTTTGCTATCAATGTGAGGTTTTTACTTTGACCTTTCCAGGAAATTGTCACCCCCAATGGAAAACCCAAAGTTGAGACTTTCAGCTTCCCCACTCTGTGCAAAGCTTCCATTTATCATGAGGTAAGTTATTGAAAAAAATGAAGAAATATTTTTACTGTAAAATAAGTCTATAATCTAATATTCTGTTCTGTTTTCTTAGCACCTCTGCTTGTGAAACCTAATGATATATGGTTGGCAATTTATATATTTGCAAGAATATTAAGTATTCTTAAAACAACTAAGTAGAATCATATTCTGTTGTTAATGTGTGTGTGTGTGTGTGTGTGTGTGTGTGTGTGTGTGTGTGTGTGTGTGTGAACAATCATCTAGCTAATTACAAGATCAATTACATTTTTAAAAAAATTTGGTCCTTTGATCTCAAGATTGTCTTTGGGTGCTATTTCGAAGGCATTTACAATGCCACAGTTGTCTGCAATGATCCATCCAGCGTCATTCAATCATTCAATCCAAGCTTCTGTCTATCCACATTTTTCCTTTAACAGCCCTTTGGCTTGGCCGCCCTGACCCTGACGGAGGCTGCCTTGCAGTCTGAGCACGGAGAGCCAATGGTGGTGACGAGCAGTGCCATGCCACAGGTAGAACACATTAATTCCCAGAACAGGTGAGAACACAGGATGACAAGATTTACTAATATGAAGTCAGTTGATTGCAATTACTTGAGTTTGAGTTATCACCTTGTCAGCACCTGTCGAGTATCTCGTTAATTTGAACATTAACGTTAGGAAAAACTGGGTGTCATACTTTAGATTTACTTTTTTCTTTTTCATTCTGATTGTATATACTATAGGTTATGGTTGCTGTACAAAAAGAAACAAAGCTTGTGTAAAAAACTAACTTCTTGATTTTATTCTGTGGTCATGCATGATAGCTGTACGTGAACTGGAATGTGTGAGGTGTGTGTCTGTGTGTGTTGTCTGCAATAATCCATCCATATATATATATAAACTGCTAACATTAACACTAAACATTGCAGCAAAAGTGCTTATTGATATATTTGCAAAACAACTTCCATATTGTTGATGACAGGTAAATAATTCATTCTTGTGTGGGGATGATTTGATTGGGTGTGCTGGAAGTGATAAAAGCCAAATAAGAATAATTGAGTCACACTTATTCATATAAAAGACCCTTTATTACATTTGGTATCACAACTGTTTTTGCTGATGGAGGGGGGGGGGGGGGGGGGTCTTGATCAGTTCTTATCGGCAAACTTGATTATAAAAACAAACTATTTAATTCAATGTGGAATGGGTCACTTTCTAATTGTGGAGGTATTTGAGTGATGGAACTCAAACATAACATAAAAATATATTAAAAAAGTACGTATAATTTTATAATATATTGCATGGTAATCAGGACAAGTACCATGATTTAATCATGATTTTTTGTTGATAAATTTTGGGAATATCGGAGTGAAAATTGCATTTGAGCTACATATATCTGCACATCCAGGACACTGGGTAACATCATTGGGACATGGGCATCAAAAATTTAACATGGCGCCGATCTTGTGACCAGGCTTTCTGCTTAGAATATACATTGTATTTTGCTTTATTTTCATCAAGTTTGGAAAATGTAGTATTAAACACATACAAAAATTGTCAAGAAAGAGCACACTTAACTTCACAGAGTTGAGAAAGCAAGCCATGATCCTGAATCGGCGGGTAAACAGCGACAACGTGAAATTGTCTCTCAGGTACACGCTTTCCGCTTAGGATGTGCATCGTATTTGGCTTTATATTAATAAAATTTAAAAATGTTACGTTAAACACATAAAAATTATCAGGGAAGAGTACACTTAACTTCACAGAGTTGGGAAAGCAGGCTGCAATTCTGAATCTGTGGTTAAACAGCGATGACATGAAATCTTTTTTTCGTGAGTTACATGCCAAAAAATGGGAACTGGATAAGTCTCATTTAATATTCATGTGACCAGGTCATTATGTCATCAAGTGAAATCTCCACTATTTAGGCTAAAGCCCTGGGCTTAATATGAATGGGGAAATGAAACTACATGTGGTTGCGCTGTCTCGTGTGTCTGAAGAAAAACGACACAGGATTAGGTCCTAACATCTGTGATTACACGCTCAGATGACAGGATTTCCTGACACATCGTTGTTTTATGAAAATCATAGTGTATTTCAGGTATTTAAATCTCGAAATTGAATGATTTGTATAGTTCACGTGTATGGGAGATCATACTTTGTACTGATTCGGAAGTTGAAAATGGAAATGATGGTAATGCACAACAACCCGTTTTCGTCACCCATCAAAATTTGAGACGAAGAGCAATTTTTGTTTTTCTCTAGTGTGTGTGCCGTAAATGATCCCTGAGATGACCAAAAAATATGATAATATTATTTTGAGAGCTTTCTTTTCCATAATATACAGCTGCAAAACAGACTGGTATGTCTGTGTCCCAAATTTAATTGTTGTTTTAATGTCATTTTTGGCCAAGAATTAAAAAGTTTAAAATACACAGCAATGTATGGAAACATAAAATTGTTTGTTGTAATAAGACAAAACCATCCCCTTTCACAAAAAAGCATCCCCATTGTAATCCAATGCATAGGAATATTTTGACAGACTTTCAAAGATGGTCACCCACTTCTGTTACCCAGTATCTTGGACGTGCAGATATGTATATACATGAGTACTTCCATCATTCACACACACACACACACACACACACACACACACACACACACACACACATGCACACGCACACGCACCAGTATAAGGGTTCAGATGGATGTGGATTCACGAAAATTTTTCACTGCCAAATCAAAAGTCTGTTGATTCCCACACAAATTTCTTGAAGAGGTTTTAATGCAAAGATGACAGGTTTGGGACAAGTGTTGTCATTTTATAATAATCTTAGGCATATTGCATTATATCCATTAAGAGGATGAATTACATGGTGAATACTAGATGGTAATTTGATCCTATCTGTTACATATGTAGGAGTAGTGGTAGGGTCTTTTTATCTTGTGAGAGAATAATGGCTGTCTGCCTCAGATAGGTTTAAGGAGGACCATTATTGTGTTTCTTTTTTTTTTTTTTTTTTACATTTTACCATGATGGCAGACATTTGAGGATGGAACTTAGTGGTGAATATTGTTATTTTCATCATTTCCATCAAGCTGTTGGTAGGATTTTTTGCTAAATGCAGTCTCGTGCTCTTTGTAGGTGTACATTTTATGCAAAACATACATATTTGATGGACTGAAAGACTTTTTTTGTTCTTTTTGAATACACAATAATATTCCCTGCTTTCACCTTTCACATGATGACTAATAGAAATGGAACAATAGGCTATTTTAGAATTGTTGCAAAATTACCATGAAGGAAACAGTTTTGATTTCAATCTTACTGGTTATAAAGAGCCTCAGGGTTTCTTTTAAAATAGGCCTTACATCTTAATAGCAGGATTCGCAAAAAAAAAAAAAAAAAAAAAAAAAAAAAAAATATATATATATATATATATATATATATATATATATATATATATATATAAAATTAAAATAGTAGAGATAAAATAAAATATAATGAATAATAAAATGGAATAAATAGATTAATAAAAAATGAAAATAAATAATGATAATCATGATAAAATAAACAGAGGAAAAAATAGCACACTCAGTATTTCTTGCCTTTCTATTTAAAAATGTGTATAGACATTCGTGGAAGTTCTGATTTCTTACAGTATTTGTCTTCTTTGTTGCAGACACAGTGTTTTGACCTATGTACTGTCATGCTACAGCAACGTCATTTGTGCCCTGTCTCCAAGGTCTCATATGACAGCTTGTTACTTGGCAACCAGGTGAGACCTTTATCATGCTGTTCTAACTGATACTTGTCTCCAGCATTCTACGGGTTCTAAGAAATGAATCTCTGAATGTCATTGGCTTCATTAAATGTGAAAGCACATGGTGTTGTTCTGTCTCCTCCTTTATGTTCAAGTTGTTTACTCTCTGTATGTGAAACTGATCAAATTAAGTATGTTTATTTCTGTGCTTGGGATGTTATCAACACTATTGCTACCATAATATATTGTTTTTCAAACTGTATATATTGCCTAGTCTTGCAATAAACCTGGAAATTTTAAGTAAGGCATTCTTGTGTAATTAATACCGGATGAAGCTAGTCAATAGTTCTTCTTCCTCTTGTAGGCTTCTTGTCTGGCAACTGCTTCCACCCCTTGTTATGGTAATGATAGATATTGGCTTTAGTTACTCGCAACAGGAGTGGCAGGATCTATGCTATATTTATATATTCTTTCAGTGTGGATTCAAATTAAATCATTGTTTTGTTTTTTTAGAGCATGTAGAACTGGTTTTGGTGACCTGGACAGAGTGCCAAGCTCTCACAGCACTGGTCCTGGGCACAGTGACCACATCCTAGCTGACCCCAGGATTAAAGTGACTCCAGGGTTCTTAGTGGAACTGCTCAATATTGTCTACTATGTCATGTAAGTATTTGCAAGAGATATTAGTTAGTTATTTTATTAATTGTTTTTATTTTTTATAACCACTAGCCCGACCCAACTGTCCTTGATCATGATGATGATGACTATTACACTCAGCTCCTGTGCTGAGTTGTTATCTGAGATGGGGGTGGAACTGATGGTATGGTAAATAAACCTACCAGTTTTTGTTGCTTCCTGCACCCTCTGCACATATTGTAACTAACTAAGCAGAGGATCTGCTGGAAACAGTCATCAAGCAAGGGTTTTCTCTGGATGTGTACAAAATGAAACTTTCTTTCAGTATTATTTATTATATAAGATGCAATCAAGTATTTTAGACTTAACTATTAGACTCTTTTACTGTCAGAGAGTAAAATACTTTCTTAATTAGAAGTAGAAAAACAAAACAATAAATTGACTTACCTTCAAGTCAAACTTTTCTATAATATATCCAAAATATGTAATTGGATATCATTTTATGTTGCTTTGAAAATCTTTGTCAAAGGCATTTTTACCTAACTGCTTGAGATGAGATTTGATAAAGTGTATTGCGTTAGAGAAGTTGAACACAATACATCTTCTCCAGGTTTACCACTCAGCCTCAGCTAGGGGCTGCTGCTCTGGATGCAATACATAATAGAGCAGCATACGAGCTCTTCTCTGATGTTATGATGGTAAGTTGATGTTTAGAAATAGAAATTCTGGTTAATGTAGTATTTCATTCCTGGTGTGTATGTGATTTTGTTGTCTAAAAAAAAAAAAAAAAAAAAAAAGATATGCAAAAATCATTGCTTTTCAAAGAAATTGTTGAAACACAAAGAAAAAAGTAGTGCTTTAAATTTTATTTTGTATTCTGATTAATAAAGGTAAAGTGACATACTTTATTGTTCTTTTTTGAATATATACCTACATTTTATGTGCATGTTTTAATTTTTTTAGTGATCATGTTACATAAAACATTTGCCTTTTCCTTTCCTCCTTTAGGATGTAATGAGAAGGCCTTAGTGCATTTCTGCATCATTTCCTACATTTTTTTGAAAAAAGTAATGGGCAACAAAAAACACAATGAAATTAATCCTATAAAGTAGGAAAAAAGCTTCATACACATTTATACAAATAAAGAGTTTTTAAAAAATTGTCTCGGATGCTTCACACAGAGGAACTATGTGTGTTCTTTGTGTTTTAAATTCTAGGCTGTCTAGGGCTATTTTCAAAACTTAACTGATACACTGCTGGGAGTGGAAATATTTGAAATGTCTGTCATTTTGGTACTTGAGGTTCAGTTTTATGGCACTTGTTTATTAACCAGAGAAGAGTATTTTTTTTAATGTCTGAGTTGTTGCTGGTCTTGCTTTATGCTTCACTTTGATGCTTGTTCCCTCTTTTCTGAACACATGTTTCTACACTCCACATCACCTTTAATTAGGCCAAATATGTAGGAGTTGTAATGCGTGTCAACCAATTAAAAAAAAAAATTATCTACTTTACTTCATGCTTCTTATTCTACATTTGCGTGATATTTATGTTGCTGAGTTGTCTCATTGCAAATACAAAAAACTCTCTGTAGCTTTTTCTAAATGTCATCTCTCTCATAACATGAGAGTTTTCTTGATGGTAGGAAAAAGAATCTGGATTCGTTGGTAGTGTAAAATAGCTGTTGAGTCCAATCAGGTGAAGGTATCAGGTTTTCCAAGAAATCTCATTGAATTTTACAGTTTGTGCTTGTCATCCACTTGTTTCTAGCTGAAAAGATTTATTGTTCTCAGCATATAACAGGAAATGAAGTCTGTCACTGGAGATGAGGCCAGGCATAGGGTTATGCAATTCCCATGAAGGCAAATGAAGGGAAAGTGCAATAAAGATCTGCTATTGTTATGTAGCATCCTGCATGAAAATTGGTTTTTATCCAACACACATATTTCAGTGAAACGAAACATGTAATATTAGCTGGAGGTTGATTGAACAAGCATTCTCTCTCTCTCTCTCTCTCTCCTTTGAAGTGTGACACTTTTCTGCCTTGTTACCAAATTGTACCAAAAATGTGGGGAAAATAAAATGCCTATTGTTTTCTTTTATTGTATATATTTACCAAAAAGTACTGTTTAATGCTAAGAATTCAGTATTTAATTACTTTAGTCTCTTTGTGTTCTTTGCTTTATTCCTGTAAAATTCTAACCTCTAGTTAGGCTGAAAAATCCACAGGCCTTTAACTCAGTAAATTTAATAATTTGTTTCAAGTCTCCCATGCATCACCCCCTCCTCTGCCCTCTCCGTCACAGAAATGCACACAAACCAAATGTACAGATTTTCTTTCCTACTAACAAAAATAAACTTCTGTAAGTGTGGGACTTTGTAATAAAAACAGTTGAGATGTATTTCTCTCACATTCAGTGCGTTTATTTTCAATTCAGTGAAATAATGACAACAATAAAGTAAAACACAACCATGCCTGGGCGAAAACACTTTCTGTTGACGTAGTGGAATGAGGACATACGTTTGTCACACTTGATGAATTTTTCTTAAACTTTTCTCTCTTTAGTAGCATTCTGTCTCTTGTGGTGCCTTTAACTGAATAGTATTGCTAATAATCTTGTAACAACAAAATTTAACGCTCCCCAACCGTGAACATTCCATGCTATTTAACCTCTCTGGCCCTGTAGAACACAGAGAGCGAGTTCACAGCCATCTTGGCAGTAGACACAAATATATCATGGTTAATAGAACCCGGTAGAATGCATCAGGTCACCATTGGGTACATGGACTAGTTTATATGTCATTTAGATTAGCATACATCAATTAATGTGACGTTTGCATTATTTACATAATCTTGAAATTTCGTTTGGCCTCTTGGTGTGTCAAATTTAGTGTTTTGATTTATCACCTTTTCAGTAAAATATCACTTTTTAACTGAAAAAAAAAATCAATTTGATTGCTTTGGAATTCTTATTTTATATGGGACAATGCAAATTTTACTTTTGTTTGTGAAAGAACATGTCAAATCCCAAAGTACCATGAGGAGTGTACTAAGGATGACTCGTTTCTTCTGAACCCATTCAGCTTTGTTCAGCTAGGTTCTTTACTTTTAACTGAGAATATTTTGTCTACTTTGATCTAAAATAAATCAGTAGTAGTAGTTTTGCACTTAAATGAATTATTGTGTATGTTTCATAAAAAGAAAGAAATAAATTATTGTGTATGTTCCATAAAAAAAAAAGAAATTGCTCTTGTTTCAGGGTACCCATAGTTACTAAAATTTGGTACATTACTACATTTTTTTTCTTTCTAAAGTGAATTGAATCAAAATTTCTGTTTTTAGGTGTAATTAAGACCAACCTTTGGTCTTCAGTTCTTTTCAAAGCTTTACTTCTAATTTTTTAAATATGCCACTACCATCAGAACATTGACTGAAAATAATGAGAATCAAAACTAAAAGGTGTAGAATCATTATTAATGGGTAGAATTGGCAACCCAGGAGACTACCCCAATTTTAGTGAGTTTTGTTATAGATCTGTCCCAACCTATGTCACTGTGATATATTTTCCTGTTCAGCAGGGATGGAGAGCATGTATTTGAACAGGAGGAATTTCCAGGGGGAAAACTGTGGAATGCCAATAATGTCCATACAAATACAATATGGGCCTTGCCTTGTAGCATTTTTGGTCAACCACACCAAAAATAAAAATAAAAAATAATAATATGAATTTCTTTATGATTATTAGTTTCCGAGTTATATTTGACAAACTTTCAACAAAGACGTCTTTTCCTCTTAACTTACTAGCGGGAGGGGTGACAGGTAGTCTTAATGTATTAAGTGGTCTTTTTTATATTGATATCCTGAACCTGTTTAGAATACTCAATACAGAATTGAAGATACACAAAAAATATACTTGTTTATAATGTTAGTATGGTGATAAAAATTAAGTAACTCTTTCTGACACTTAGAGTCCATCTCTTTGAATATTTGAAACGTTATCCTTGTTAAAAACAATGCAACAAATACCCAGTTCACAGAAAGACCACTTTTCTCTGCCATTTCCACTTGGTTTCCTTGTGGACCATATCATCAGACACATTTTCCACAGTTCAAATGCTCCTTTATACATGTCTTTTAAAGTATGAAGATGGCCAAGGGGGTAATAACAAACCAATTTAAAGAATCAAACACAGTCATAGTGTAGGTAAAATCAACAACAAACATGTATGTGTATTTGGCTTGGTAAATTTAAAACAGTGACTGAAGCAACATGCTTTTATTTACAGTAAGAGTCATCCAGTGGATGACCTAATGTGAGATTAAGTTTCAGTTGCACATTAAAGAGACACCATGAAAAAACCCCTAGGACTTGTCCATGGTACCACTGGTACTAGATGTTGCGTGATTATGTTTTATGTATACATGTATATCTGGTTTTCACCTAGTGGGTGGAGTTTAGTCTATGGGATCTTTTCCCTGCCTTTAGATAAGGAATTTTTTCTCTGATATCAAAGTATCTCTTAACTTTTTTTGGTGAAAGTCGTTAAGTGTTCACAGGTGTTCACAGAGTAAGCATGCAACAAAAGAACACTGTTGTGAATGAATTTAATTTGTAGAATTTACTTAGTTCGGTCCATTGTTATTTGCACAGAGATCCAAGCGAAAAAAGCATGTAAGATTTTTATACACAAAATAGATTGTTTGACCCTGTACATTTTCACAATAAAGACTGGTGTCAGGAAAGGGCAAACATGTTCCTATTATTTGGCACTCACCCTAATTCTGGCAATCTAATCTGAAATCTGATAAAACGTGCTGAATGAGTTTTCGTTGGCAAGGACAAACCCTACCGCTTTCAAGGTTTACTGTAAAAATTGTCTAGATTTTTTCAATTTTGTAAGGAATGTAAACAGTTATGTGATGACAACAGAATGTCTCGGTATTCTAAAATGTATTATGTTTAAGCATAACCAGAATTTTTTATGAAAAAATTGTAAATATTTATTTAATTTGTTATTATTATGAACATATATACCTAGGCCAAGAAATAGATTGGCTTTTGTACTTATTATCTTACAGTTCATCTTCTATGAGTACACTTAAGAAAATAGAAGACTTATTGAGTAAACTACAATTTACAGCAGGTTATGGCGGTAAAAGCAGAACATCAAAGAGTGCAAAGTGTTCAGTAGGTGGGACAAGGTGTTTAATTTGATACACTTCCCAAATAGCATCCTGTTAATTGCATATAGCTTCTAAATCCCTTTTATTTCCTATTCCCATTACATGCAATGATCTAGAATTAAAGTTGATATTGATATATCTGGGCTCACCTTTGATAACACTCGATGCTCTGATTAACAGGGGAAGCTGGACGGACTAGAAGACGTTTGTAGAATAATTAAAGTTTTAAACTGCAATAAAAGTTCTCCACTTGAAAAAACTTGATGAGAATGGCTTTCAGTGGGATGTCAAAAACAGAATAGGAAGATTAAAGAGCAGTGAAGACCCCCCTAAAATATTACCCAAAAAGGATAGTCTTTTACTTTTTATTGAAACCCAGACGACAGGCATTGTGATACAATGAATCCAGTAACTTGACCAGTGTTGCTGTTCACTGGATGTTGGTGTTGGGGATGTTTTTCAGACATGGGCCAGCTTGTGTGGTATCAATGCCACATTTTGTGGCTGTAATGTTAT